CCTTCGGCTCGAATCATTATCAGCCGATAAAACACGCTCTTTTGTTCTTTATACATTACATAAATTATGGCAGTTAATTTGATACTTACGGACGCACAACTTGTCGTCGTTTGGATCAACTTTGAAACCGTCGTTACAAAAGCATGCGAAGCTTCCGACTGTGTTGTTACACTCTTGTTGGCAAACATCCCTTGAGCACTCATTGACATCTGAGATAGAAGAGCAGACAAATTCCCGGCTATTATTATTATTTTTTGAATGTATGAATGCAAAACTTTGATATATTAAAGGGACACTGTCAATGGCACGCATGCGCGAGTAAACTTGAAAACATTAGTCTAATGTTTTCAAGTTTATGACTCCAAGTTGGCGCGACATAAATCAGCTCGTAAACGTAAACAGAACTAGAATATTCCAAATTGTGTCGAAGGTAATACTTTCAAAGTCCGTTAGAGGCGAGACTGTTACTGCGCATGTCATCCATTGACAGTGTCCCTTTAAAGCGCACTAATAGTATCTCCCATATCCTGACATAGTTTCCTTCACGGTTCCCTGCGCCATCTTGAAAAGTAGCCATGCCTTTACATAGAAACAAGATAACCTTTGAACGTGCAATCATGATAGATAATTGTGAATAATTGTCTGTAGATGTGAAAGAAGCCTTCTATCATTGCACGCTCAACGGTCTTGCTTCGATGTAAAGGCACTGCTACCTTCAAGATGGCGCAAGGAACGGCGAAGAAGACTATTCCGGTATACATGCATTTAACTCTTCGTGTTTCGGGTAATTATGTACTGTTGAAGCAGTTTAGCTTCAACATGCAATACATTTTTGTTATACTGATTGGCTGCATTTCTGCGAACTGCAAGTGGTTAAACCTACTCATGTCAAAAGTAAGTTTTCATCGGCGCCATTTTTAAAACAAAACATGTTGGGAGTTGTAGTCTTTGCAGTTATTATCGGCTAAAGCAGTTCTCATAAGCCTGTTTTGCTTTTTCTTTGAAAAAAATAGAATAAGTAGTTTTACTGCTTTATTCAAAGAAAATATAAAACAGCCACAGAGACTTTGAAGGGGCTATAAAAAGCACCAGAACTACAACTCCCATTGCATGTCTGTAAAAATTGTCATCGCTGCGCATTTCCTATTGGGCTACCGACGCTATAATACTTCTCACAAACCATGTTACTAGAGCTTCATGCTGATAATTATCTACAATCAAATTTAATCTAAAAATGTAGATTTGATCACCTGAGCAGGAACGGTTATCTGCATTCAATGTATAGCCCTTCTTGCAATCACAGATATAGGAACCGGGGGTATTGATGCAATTTTGTTGGCAKTTGGTACTGTTATTAGACAGACATTCGTCAACATCTGTAAAATAAAATTTTAATTTAGTGAAAGAAGTAGTAACTACTGGTGGTAAACAGATGACATCTTATGGCAAAGGTAATGCTCCAGGATGATTGAGGATATTCAGAACGAATGATAATATATCTGACACCATATATATGGCAGTCAAATTACATTGATAACTCAGAAAGTTATTAATTAATTTTCTCGGATTTTTTTAGAGGATGTACTTGACAATTGTTCCATTCAACATGGGTACTGTAATATTTAACTATGGTGTAGACAATGATGTAATGGTAATTTAAATTGTCAACTGATTGTCTTGAAAATTTAGAAAAAACTTACACATTTCATAATGTACATGTACTTTTCTACATCATCTTTGATTTTAATACAAAAAGTGTAAAACCAAGCTTTCTAACTACGTGGTCATCCTCGATTTTATTTTTAATTTTGTTAAACATCAAGTTTGATGTAGCAAAGCACATTATGAAGTTATATCCAACCTACAAACATCTCTTTAAATTAGTTATAAATATTCCATTCACCCTCGTCGTACATCAATCTAGCTTTTATAAAAGCATATAGCTATTTCAAAAAAGGTTGTCGGATAAAATGGCGAATGTCAATGGTCGAACGGCGATTGCACGACCGAAAGTAAACATGGGTTTTGCTAGTTGAAAGGCAATAACAACTGATTTATTCTGTAAGATGGTCTGTGGTAAACATTGGCTCCATTTAGTCTCCATTTCTATGCAAGGTGAATCCAATAAGTGAATTTTTGTTTATCAAAGCAGTGCAACCATAGTCCCTTTCGGTCGTGCAATCTCCCTTCAACAATCGACACTCGCCGTTCTCCCCGACAACGTTTTTTGAAATAGCTGTATACAACAACGAAATTTCCGATTTCAAGTATGTGGTACGATCGCAATAGCATGACTAAAATATTGTACCTGTACAGTTTTGCCCTGAACCAGTATAACCAGAAGGACAAGGACCACAATCAAACCCATCAATCCCTGCTGGTGCAGGRCGATCGGTACACTTGACTCCAGYAAAACAAGGCGATCCCCTTAAYTCACARGCATCWATATCGCTCTCGCAAAATCTACCGGTATACCCACTGGCACATTGGCAAGGCATCACCTGAAAACGATCACCTGATTCGTCTTCGACGTCGGTGCAGTTGCCGCCATTTTGGCATGCGCAGAGAGTAATAGTTGGCGACCAGATTGATGAAGCTCCTTTGGAATCTTTGATGACAAGGGTGAAGTTTACCTGAGAAGTCATTCAAATTAAAAATAATATACATTCTGGCCGAATTAGACGGCACAAMTTTTGGCATGCCTACAACCATCGCATGCGACCTGCGTAAGTCATCTTTACAACAACATAGCTACAACTGTCGTAGGTATTTCAAACAATTTCTTAATAGCCAGCCTCACGACAGTTGTAGCCATGTCTTAAGGATGGCTTACACAGGTCGCATGCGATGATTGTAGGTAAAAGTTGTGCCGTGTAAGTCGTCCTTTACAACATGCCTACAACTGTCGTGGGGATTTCAAACAATTACTTAATAGCCCCACGACAGTTGTAGCCATGTCGTAAGGATGACTTACACAGGTCGCATACGATGGTTGTAGACAAAAATTGTATGGTCTAAATCCTTTCGATAGCTACAACGAACACCTAGTGTTCATCAATTTGTTCTTCCCTTCTGATCATTTAGTTCTCAAGCACATATTACCTTTTCTGTAGAGCTCAAAGTCCATATCAAAGTCAAGACGTTACCARATTGAGTGGCTTGAAGTCCAGGTACRTTTTGCCAAAGAAAGGTAATGAGATCTCCATTCTTGTCCTCCGCAGTGACAACGGTGGTGGACTGTACGTTTAGTTTCAATTTGATTGACTCAGTAGTGTTGACTACCTCTGGAGGGAAGTTTTCTTAGACAGAAAAATCGATGATAAGGCTTCGATTAAACAGATGTTTATGATAACACTATGCAGGTCTATCTAGCCTGTTTTGCCGTATCTCTCTCTGTGGCTCTTTTTAGTTCTAGATTCCCACGGCTTTCATATCAGACATAAAACTTAAAAAAAATTACCAATCGCGAGCTACCAATGATGCAGARCAAGCATTCACTTATTGCTGCCTGCTTCAGGTTCTATCATTATTGCCTTAGATATCCCAAGAAYATTTGGAATTCTAGGACACATCAATCAAGATCGTCCAAGTATTGCAATACATTTGAATAATATCAATAAGGAAAGCATACAAAGAAACACGAATGGACTTTATACCTAGTTGGTTTGATTCGTTAACTAGCTTATTTGAAGTYYTTAATGATGCCTCGCCTACTGAAGCATCTTTAGTGGCAGCGGCGTCGAACAGACAAGCAAGGTTTGATCCACAAACTGCCTCAGCTTGAGCTTTCAGAGTTTCATTATAAAACTTCAAGTCATCAGCAAATAGTGGTACATAAGACAAGTTCTTGAAGGTGTCCACGCTTTCTCCTGGTTTATAAGTGAACAGTGACTCAGCACCTGTGATCTGCCCTGTAAACGTATGAATAAATAGACCGAGTTTGCGTTAATTATCCCAAGTTATACAAAAGTGCAGTCGAGAAATTGCAAGGCATAGATCAAAGGTTATTCAGTCTCGCTTAATATACCGTGTTTGCGTTAATTATCACAAGCTGTACAACAGTGCAGTCGAGACATTGCAAGGCATAGATTTGTAAAAGTATAACGATGTACAATTAAATGTCATTTAGTCTCGCTTAATGAATGTTTCTTGGGTTTCATGTGACGCCATAGTCAAGCAAAAAAAATTGAAAAAATGTATTTCTGCTCAAAAGGCTCTTCTTACAGTATATATTAAATATACTTCTAGATGAAAACTCTGAAACCCAAGAATATATCACAAGCGAGCACTCATGATAATCGAAATATATCAATAGAGACCGAGAGAAAAGGAGAAAAAKAGACCGCTATGCCTTGCAAGAGTCCATTACATGAATGTTAAGYTCATCGTTATATAATCATATATTTTATCGAGTACATAAAAGCGTGATGAACTCCTGTATTTCTATCATGTCTTAAATTGATTATCTCCCATTATCAACGCTGATTGAAAATATTAAGAACTTACACTTCAGTCCAAAGTTARAGTGAATTGTGCTATCATTGGATGAAATAGGAATYTTTGAGCCATCGGGTAGTGTGAAATCATCGTCCATTACATCATTCCATGTACCAAGAAGACCTTTGGTCTTGTTTTTGAACTCTTTTGGCAATGACAGCACGATTGTCATCATTTGTYTTATGGCACCAAATGTCGCAGCGATTCCTGATTGRAATGTTGCTGTGATGTCGTCGTTGTCCTCGCGTGATAACGAGATGTTACTGATTTCTTTTGTTTCATTTGCAGTGACAGTGGAGAAGTTGAATGGATTTCCATCCACAAGCACCTCCAGGCCTCCTATTGGTCATTTARAATACGTGTTATAGTTTATATGTGTAGTTTAAAACACGATCTCGAGTGYTCGAATSGCTTAAAATCTCCAACACTAATCTGAAACTCAAATCCGTTAAAATTCTTGGAGAATTTGCCATAAAAATAAGTTTTGAGATAAATTGGGGCAAACTGATCATGCGCGAATCACTTTACAAAGCACTCTTGTCATCACACATTGAATACGCATAAAGTAAAGTAGGCGCTGATGACTGTTCTACTGAAATCGGTTGACATCCTGGTTTCAAAGTTCCACTCATCCGAGAGTGTTTGTGAAATTGATTTTACATACGAAAAGTCGCCATCTTTTATTATGAACCAATTAGAAAGCAGCTTTCAACAAGAGATCATTTCTAAAACAAAAGAAACGATCGCAAGCACTCTTAGATGCGCACGTGTACATGGGCTAGTTTTGATAGACTCCAGTATGAATTTCTCATGATGTCGCAAATCAAAATATCATAGCCTTCTTACCATTCTCGGTCAATCTCACTTCTATTGTCCCTGTATCTGTTTCCTTGGCAGCACCTGCTGAAAATACTGTAGCAATGCCTCCTTGAGCTTTCTTGGTTCTTGCTTGGAGCTTGAAGAATCCGTTATCGACATTCGCCATAGTGTATTCACCGTGCCCATTGAAGGTGTAATTTTTGTTATCCAATGTAACAATATGAGGATCTCCAAAGACGAAACCTTAAAAAAGAAAAAAAAAAAATTAAAGACGTTGAGTTGTCTTATCCAGAAGATCACAATTTTTTCCGTTGAACGCCTTCTTGGTTTTTCATAATGTTTTCTGCATATCAAACAATTGCCTGACATTCGCGCGGGCTACCTGTGTCTTTTGTGGGATTCCTTATTTTCAAGGATAGGAGGGGACTAGGACAAAATTGTAATAGACGACATGTTAAAAAGCGATTTCTCTGCAAATTCTGTAAGTTTTAGCCATTTTAAAGCATTATAAAAGGTGGGAAAAACTTTCTAACGTGCTTCCTTATAAGGTAAGATTACCATATATGGTCAGCGATTTCTCTGCAAATTCTGTAACTTTTAGCCATTTTAAAGCACTAAAAGGTGGAAAAATTCTAACGTACTTCCTTATAAAGTAAGATTAACATATATGGTCAACAAAAGTTTGGCAAACGAATGAATTTTTCTCTGAAGTAATTGTTTGATATGAATTCTACTCAGCACTCGGCATTTTGCCACATTCATCTGAACATCAAATGAAAAAATTAGGTATAATGCAACTTACGTCTTCTCGGTGGCTCATACGATGAACAATCATCAGAGTACCTATTCCGATAAAACATGGCACATAGATTGGAATCCACACAGCATGCTTGGTGTGCCTCGTCATCRTTTAATAGCCACTTGTACTGGCCAGATGCAAAGGAAGGAAGGAAGACAACATAGCCTGCGTATTTAGGCCTTTTAAGCAAGGATCCAAATTGATTACTACGACGATCAGTGTTATAGCAGCAGCGCTTAGTAATTGTCCCTCTGACGAAAACTTGTGAGCCTGTACTTGGGTCAGTCAACGTCCAAAAGTAACGAAAACGTCTCCGGAGAACCCAATGCAGAGAATAGCACTGAGCATCGGAAGGTGCATATCGATAATTATAGTGCCAATCAGGCCGAAATCTTCCATCTCGCCATGCTTGACGAAGATCACAAGGGCATGGGAATCGTTGGTTGATAACCTTCATTCCTCCATCAATTAGTCGATTATTCTGTAATTGTAATTTAGACCACGCCGTGCACTGTGATTCTGCTATAGCTGGACGTGTAGGACCGTCGTTTAGATGGTGGAACCAACGACCRGTRACGTTAGTATTACCTTTCTTTTCATCAATTTTGGAAAAGGCCAATTTACCAGAACTGAAATTTTATCAAGACGCGTTCATAAGAAAATGTATATCATGCAATATGATATATAAAAAAATATATAAAAAATGTGTAGATGACGAAATGATTCATTTATTAAGGATTTAATCCTTCCTTCATAAATGAAAATCATTGGCACGCTGGGATTTAAACATTGCGATCGTAGATGATTTCTTGTAGTGGAAAAGCTTTCGCCATTTTTTGGCTACTGAAGGATGAAAGTTACTCGGGTTGTTAGAAAACAAGCGGGAGAATTTGACTTTATTTAACTATTTTACCTACAAGTATATTTATTTTATATTTCATTTCGTTTTGCAGGGGATAGTTTTATAGTTTTTTTTTTGACAAACAGAATTTTTTATTCATTTTTTACTTCTTATTTTTATTAGTATTAAAGCTTTTGTGTATACTTACTTTGGTATATTGAAGAATTTATTTCTAGCACCCCTTCCAGAGTTCCAACCTCCGACAGGCAAAGGTGTTCTGTACCAGTAATCCGAATCCGAACTAAAAATAACACAATGCGTCACTTTGTTATTGATGAAGTTATACGTTGAATTCTAACTTTATTTGAGCAAACCTCTATACACCTTTAACATAATGGCCGCCATCTAATTAACATGAATTTTTAAAATTTAGAATTTTAGTCAAAGCAAACTAACAGCTGATAGGAACCTGTGCTAATAGCAACATATAAAAGTTTGTAATGAAAATATTAAATTCTGGCGAAGTTATAAGGATTTAAAATATATCATAACACCAGAACGAGGCTATAAAGGCCTTGGCTGAAAATTACATACATTTCTTGTATTTTCATTTRGCCATAACTTTGTTCGCATTTTATCCAGGGCTGTAAAACTTTCCAGAAATGTTTATTTCTGGCAGTTCATTCACATGACAGTGAAGTTTTCACATATTTCATATTCAGAAACAAACAGACAGACAGCCATTGGTGGAAAATTACATACATTTCTTTGTATTTTTATTTCACCATAACTTTTTTCCTATTTTTTCCTGAGTTTTAAAACGTTCCAAAAACGTTTCTGATAGTTCTTTGATGTTACAGTGACAAAATAACCATATCTATTTTATTTTGGAAAAACACAATTGCAGCCATTATGGTGAAGGTGTATATTCTCAATCATAAGAGTTATGAATAATTCATTACCTATCAATCTATTTCAAAGGAGAGATCAATTGTGGTCATTTGGCCAGCAGCTTCCCTCGTAAGTAATAAGTGTGATTTTGAAATGGAATTCTCCAGTTTGATTGAGCAAAATGATGTACATTCGAACAACTCGAAATTTTAGGTTAAGATTTTATTGAAACTTTGTCAGTATATCAATTATGTTATTAAGAAATGATTCTGAAAATTTTATTGCAATCTCTACAATGAGTTTTGAGAAAATTAACTTTGAAGAAAAATGAAGGTGTTTTTATTTTGCATCGTTTATCCAAATGGCTTCGCTTTTTGGCAAATTAATTTATCTACAAGAATTATCGATAATCACTGTCTTAATTCTGTGAGAATTTTAGTGCAATGGAATTGAAATTTGCGACGTAGTTGGAGTTTAAAAATACGCGCGAAGCGCTATTTATTACGATCGAAACACCTTAAACTATAAAAGCTTTATAATCTTCAATTAGAGGTGAAGCAACCATAGACTAGTTACGTCATATAAAACTTACCCTACCGCAGGAACAACCCACTGGATTCCTTCACATGGATAGTTAAACAGAGCGAAAGAGCTCAGTTCATCAAATATTAGAACAAGTTGAAATGTGTTAGACTGGAACAAAAACAATAAAAAGGGATGTTAAAAATATTGAAATGCGACAAAAAGGGAATCAAATAAATTTTCAATGAAAAAAAGCAAATGAAAAAGAAATAGAACATGCAAAATGATGGATGATATATGAATGGTATTTAAGATAATAATAATGCATGMAAAAATCACTGCATTGACCGTATACGCAATAGATTATAGGGTTTACGACCAGAATAATTAAAAAAAAACAATAGTCTCCTTCACTATTCCATGTAAAATCTTGAAAGGTAACCRAGACCTTGCGCCTAAGCAAGGTGACCGTTACAGTCAAAAGACATGAAGCGCGCCCGCTCAAAACACCATTATTCAATGAATTATTCGATTCTTGGTCGATTCAACATTGCATTATTGAAATCAAATTTGAGCTCAAACTGAAATTTGATTGGATTATTGATGGATTTTTTCGCTTGTAATTTTTTCTTTTGTAATTTCCACAAGTCGATGCATTGCAATATGCTGTCTGTTAATTTGGTTGGATCTGTTCCTTCTCGTGAGAAAGGAATGACGGTCTCAAAAAGCTGGAAATTCTGTGTTGTTTTCTGTCGTCATCAGAGTTCGAGATTTGAATTTAAGTTTGCATTAATCAACTGAAGTTTGAAAACGAATAGTAAAATGAAAAAATCCAATAATGCATTGAATTGCAACGAACTATTCGGGGGGCGCGCTTCATGTCTTTTGACTGTAAGTATTCAACAAAAAGTGTGCAATAAAAGAGGCCTGTCAATAATTGTCTGTAGATGTTTAAGTTTTCTATCATTGCACTCTCAATGATTCTAAAAAGACTGTTGTAGACAAAGCTCCCTGCAAGCAAAACAAGCTTGCAAGAAGCTTCTTTAGCGGTTTGAATTCGATAATGGAGTATCATTATGTATTGGATAGGTACCAGCTTGAAGTAAGGAGTCGACAATTCTGAATGGTATCGAGACGGATATATGTTGACCCAAGTGACAACAAGGACTCGAGAAGCATTGAAGTTCTTGTATTGGTCATTTTTCGCGTATGTTCTGACATCACGAGAGGCCTTTCGAAGCACTGCTGATCTTGAATTTGTGTACCACTGATAATATACTTTGGACATGCTATTTGGATCTGATGGAAAACGGAAACCCCTGCAATGATAAAACATGGTACAATCATCATCATAATCATCAACCACRAAGTAGGAGGCAGCTTGGCGAGAGGTCCGAGCGTGGTCTCGTAATCTATAATGGTCCTAGCTTTGATTTCGGGTGTAGCCACTAGCTGAGACAAAAATTAATCCATTTTCGATTTTTCATGTTCACTTTCTCGGCCATGGTTGTAATAAAGCCTCCTCAGCTCTTCGACAGTTGATATCCTTATATACATTTTTTTATGATTTGTTTTCTTGAGTTTATTTAAAGGGACACTGTCAATGGATGATATGCGCGAGTAAACTTGAAAACATAAGGCTAGTGTTTTCAAGTTTACGACTCCAAGTTGGCGCGACGCATGACAAAAAAAGTACTCGTAAACGTAAACAGATCTAGAATATTCCAAAGTGTGTCAAAACATTAATTTACCTCGAAGGTAATACTTTCAAAG